TTGAGAGTCCTTATAGTACATTCAGACGTGGTTTTAAACTTTTTCAAAAATCTCGTCTTATTTTGTTTTTATGAAGGAAACGCGTAAAAGTTTTGATCCAACAGCGCAGTGCTAGTGTTCAAAGCTCGCAGACATTTAATCTGTAGCAAAAGATATCATGCTAATCGACTTTACTTTCTTCGACAGCCAAAATGATGGAAGGAGCCCTTAACCCTAGTACTACCGTACCTATGTTAGAGATAATATGATGACATGTAATCTAATTGTATGATTTTTCATTATTAAACCGATATTTTCCGCCAAGTTATTCTATTTTTCTATGTGGTCTTGTAAAGAAATTATTAGAAGTATAATTTTTCTTTATTTAGGACAAGTAATAGAAAAAATTCCTTAAACAGAATGCTGTTCAAAATCAGGTTTTGAACATTGACAATATCTATTGCAAGCTTTTTTGTCTTTGGAACGGTTACAAAGCGAACATCGTTTTCGTTTTGACCGTGTAAAGTTTTCACTTAATTCTTCCGATGGTTATCCCATCAAAGGATAACCGACAACGGCTAATGTATTATGGATATCCTTATGAAAAAGTTTCGAAGTTCTCGAGTTGGATAGTCTCAATCCACGGCAAAAAACTTACTTCGATTAGCTTGAAGCTATATTCAATTAGATTAGTAATGCTTCATTGCATTACGGGCTAATAATCGAACTGGTTTCACATTTCCCTTGGCTTATTATAATTTTGTTAGCCGATCAAGATATGAAATCATGTCAAATACCCGTAATTTGCATAACAAAGGAAGATGAATTTTTTTATAGTCAACTTTAAACGGTAAAAAAATGTTAAATATTTTTCCAAGGTAAAAACATACCAAGATATTTCGTTAAATTTTTGTTTCCAATAGTGGGGTCCAAATGGACCCCGGTTGGTAGTACTAGGGTTAATAAGATACTCTTTATTGAAAACATTGTATTCATTCATTATAACTACATTAAAAATATTGTTATATGAAATTTTTATGCTTTCTATTTAGACGTGACTTCATTTCAATTTTTGTTTTTACTTAAATTGATAAACAATACATCTGCATGTTTGGTCACGAGATGAACTTCATGTGAGAAAATAATGCAGGGTGTGGGTGTGGCTGTGAGACTAAAGATCAGACAGGTATCCACACACACCCACACCTACCCACATTCTACAACCACACCCACACTTCACAACCGCACCCATCCACACCTACAAAAGAATCGTCAATCTGCCCTATCAACCTGCAATATTGAATTGTGTGAAGACTTGATGATCGCCTGTCAATGGGTGTCCAAGTTGTTCGAGTTCTTCGTCAGATTTGAGAGATGAGTTCCATTGACCATGAGAAAACGGAGGATGATCTGATTTGTTCCCGCAAACCTCAACGTTGACCAAACTGGATTGCGTCGACAAGCGAGTGCGGATGTTCAACATTGAATTGGAAGCATTCGTCATGTTTACAAGGTCGAAGTCGAAGTTTTCGTGGGATAAGAATAAACTGCCCCTTCACCTACGTCTAAAGAAGAAAAGAGGAGCAGTCGATTCTTTTTTCTTTCTTTTCTTGAAAGATGTGTAGGCCTGATCTTATCTTTCTTCTATTTGAGTCAACAAAGGTGTGCAAGAGAAAATTGTGTTTTATCTTTATCAAACACTCATCCGTGGTGTAGACCTTTTTTCGATTTATCGGGTAAGCACTATTCGATTTTATTGTCTGTCAAAGCGTAGCTGAGGGATCCAGTTGTCTCTCCTCAGTGACTCTTCTGGAGCAAATCCCATTGACCATAAATCGTGTGATTCAATTTCCAGAATTGCGATGTTTTATTTGATTCGTGTGCCGAGATGGATAGTAGGTATGCATCTAATGGATATTTTGTGGATTTCATCGCGCTCGATTGTGGTTCGTTTTCTGAGAATTTTGTTGCTTTTTCAACTGTCGAAATAATGCATGTGACTTGTTAACATCGATTAAAGAGCTGTTTCATTTAGATTGAACGGAGTGATCACAAACCACCGAAATAGCTTCGATCGATCTTCTAAACGAATTGACGTTCTTCGACGCAGCAGAAATCGCTACGAGTACAAACTCTTTTCATATCTAATCTTGACTTGAACAATGGCTTCAGACACGACACATCGAGTTTTGCCTATAAAAGGGGCATTTCTCAAATTGATGCAGCCTGAACATTTGGAGCAACTGTACAAATTGTTTGAGTTGAATCGAGATTATCTTCGTGAAAACATCCCAGGCATTGATTCGATTCAAACTCGAGAAGATCTTCAACAAAGATGGATAACATCAAAGAGAAATTCTCTGCAATTCGGACTCTGGCTGGATGAAGAACTGGTCGGTCGATGCTGCTTGATACCAGATGAGAATTCGTCTTGTGCCGAGATTGGCTATTGGCTCTCGAAATCTCATCAAGGTCACGGATTGATGACCGCGGCAGTGAAAGATTTGCTTCAATTTGGTTTCGAAGTCTGGAATGTGCAACGAGTGGAAATTCACTGCGGTGTCAACAATCTCAAGTCTCGAGCCATTCCAGAAAGACTCGGATTTGTCAATGAAGGGGTATCACCGAATGATCCCGCTATTCAACTCAATGGACAGATGGTTCTATTCGTTGTTTATTCTCGATGTAATCCAGCTCAACAATGAAACGTTGAAAGAATGAAGAGCAGTGCTCTACCACCACCTTCGAAATAGAACCCACTTGTGTTTCACTATCCTTTTGAGAGAGAAAACAAATCCGACGTGTCGTTTTCTCCCCGGCATGATGTTGATTCCTTTTTCATTCACCTGAAAGTGCTGAAAGAATCTCTTTTACTCAGAGAATTTCCGAGCAGTTCAAACTGAAAATCCAGTCGCTGAGAAGAAATTCTTCATGTGGCTCCGGGTGTGAGTGTGGGTGGATGTGGCTGTGGGTGTGAGTGTGAGTGTGGGTGTGGGTGTGGGTGTTGGTATGGCAGAAAAACAAAGACACAGGTATACCCTCACCCCCAGACTCACATCTACATCCATACATACGCCCACACCCACACCCCTCCCCCCACACCCACCCACACCCACACCCACACCCATAAATTTTCACAATAATCTCAAAACAAATTAAATCAATATGTAGCTCAAAAATTACCCTTATTTTACTGTAAAATTATCATGTCTTTTATTATCTGTCAACTTTTTATTCTAAACTGATTTTCAAAAACAAATGGCAATATTATAGGGAAAAAAGGGTGGTTTGAGTTACATTTTGACGTAGTTTCAGTTGAGATTATTGTGAAAACTGATGAAAACAATCGCAGAAAAAAGTGGTGATCCAAAAGCACGATGAAAAACTATCTTTCGTCTTAATGAATTTTATACCGATCGATGGCCCAGATATCGCTCTTTCGAAAGGTGAAAGGCGCAGATCTATATTTTGTGCTCAAGGAAAATTATTCAAAAAATCAGAACAGGCCTTTTATTTTGAAACACAAAATACAATTTTAATTTATGTTTTATAATAGTCACATATATTCAATTGTATTAACTGTCAACGACTAATTCATTATCAATGCAAAGATTTTTTTTTCCGTTGTATTGACTTTGTTCATATTTTTTTTCTTGAATGGATGAAAAGCACAGTTACTCCCAAGTTGATCATTTTCGACATAAAATCTTATCATGAATTAGATTAATCATAAATATGAAGAATGATCGTTCCGAAGTTACAAGCACGAGAAATTTACTATTGATAATGTTTTGTTACTTTAAGTAGATAAATAAAGTAAAATTATCTGTTTATATGAGAATATTCTTGATGAATTTCAAATTATAAAAAAGAAAGAAATCTTGAAAAATTAGAGTTTTGTTGGGTTTATATTTGATTTAGACGTTGGATTTGGGTTCAGGAATGGTTTATTAACGTTCTTGGTCTTGATAATCGAACGTCATAATGAGAAAAGTTCTTCAGCTGATAAATCGCTTGCAGATCGAGAGAATATGTCTTCTGTAGACCGAACTAAACTATGGATATTTTGATTGACAAAAAAACCTCTATAGAACATGGAAGTCAACATTTGTATCAGGTAACGGAAAAACATCAAAAGCAAAGGATTTTCACCTTTAGGTACATTTCATACTCATTTGATGATTCGGAAAATTTCCAGTAAGTCTTTTACGAGATAATATTTGAATTTAGTCGAACTTAGTCAAAAACAAGAAATTTTTGCTTGTAAAAAATTTCTACTGTTAGGATGGCTGAAATTTGTGCAATATTCTAATATCGAGGAAGATTTGAGTGGAAATCAAAAATTTGACTGAGCAACACGTATATGGATTCAACTTTATTGAATGTTCGTTTAGTTTTATCAGTAGTCTACTGATGAATTAATTAATTTATAAGCACCAATATCGTTCGGACATATAAATATTTTGATTGATTGACGAGACAATAAACGATTGTTTTTTGGCGTAATACAAAACAGTAAAATTAATATTTTATGTAATAAATACATTGATCCAAAATAAAACATTGTAAGTATGATATATTTATGCACAATATGATATTTCCTAGAGTAGAATAAAAGAGAAATTGATAATATTTGAAAGAAATATTAATTTACTTTTCATGCAATATTATAAATAAATATAAATTCATCATCAGTTTGATTTTTGATCGATAATGAATACATTAGAACTAAACAAGAAAAATAGAAATAAGAGCGACTGGTTAAGCAAGAGAAAAAATACAGATACCACACAATTACTTACCAAGAAAACAAACAAAACGAAAAGCAGAGTAAACTTTATAAGAATAACAATAGTTCTCATCATTCTTCTAATTCATCTATTTTCGGTTTTATCACAAATAAATATCGAATAGATTTGTTTTTATGTATCTAATATGAATTGATTTAGCTAATGAAATTAAGTGCTGCTTGTTCACATATACAATTGTAAATTTTATGCTATAGAGGAAATGTTAAATTTATGTTTGTTGGTTTAATTCAACATTGTGAACAGATTGCAATGTCAACAATTATATTATCGCAAGCATTAAATGTATATTTTTATGGTTTACTGAATTTAATTGATACTTTTCCAGCTATTATTATTGCAATGAAATATGTAAAAAGAAATACATTTTTTTTATTTAAATATAATTAAATTTTTCTTTTCAGACTGAAGAAGAATTTCTTGTTCATCTGTTATTAAAATTATTTTAGGCTTTGCAAACAAAACCAAATTCCTATAAACCTTTTTTATCTCGAATTTGTATTATTCGATTATTTTTAATGGATTTATTTTCTTAAGCAATTATTTGTTGTTGTTCACGTCTATTAAAATCAACTGTTGAACAATAATTCGAAGTTTCTCAATCTGATATATCTAAAGAAAATACAATATCTCTTTTATCAATTGGTAAAACTATAAAATTATGCAAATTATTTTCCATTATGGAAAATCATATTAAAAATGGGATTTCATTAAAAGAATTTCATATAAGTATATAATTCCATACAATTTATCGATAAAATTTGAATGTTGAAAAAGAAAAATTTATTTGATTATTTTGATATTAAATTTAGGTGGAAGATAAAGATGAAACTATTACAACTGATCCAGCTTTTGGTATGAAATCAGTAAAACTAAAAGATTTTCAAACTTTTTATAATCTCATCAATTTTTGTCACTAAGTCAATTAAATATTTATTTCAATTTTCTATTAATCTAATAGAGATCTATTAATTGATCAAACTTCAGAATATTTCGATATCCATTCATTAGTAATATATATATATATCGATTTACAGTATTTCTAAAAAAGAGTCATTATTTTAGTCAACTGCTCATAATGGAATTGAGCTGATGGATATTGATGTAAATAAAGCAACTGTTTGTGGATTAAATCGATGTTTTGTACATGAAGTACTATCTCGTCAAAAATCATATCTGAATGATTTACTTGTATCATATTTACAATTTATTACATCATTACGATCAGAATGTATTGATTATGGTTTTTGTTAATTATGTACTATCTATTCAAGTAGAAAAATCTTCTTGTTTTTCCATGGATAAAAATAATTGAAATATTTTAATTAGCTTTCAGAGATATTTCGTGTTTAAACCGATAAACACTCGAACAAGATTAGGAAAGTACGGATCCATGTTTTTTTTTACCTTGAACTAAAATCAAAGTTCTATCAGAATGACAGTGTATATTGATATCGTTTTTTTTTATAACTTTTTCAAGATAGTGATATTCGTCAATTATTTAATTAAGGAATGTGTAATATGGAATAATGAAAATCGTATAACATTTAATGTACCATTTGATGATTTAAAATCAATAATTCATCTTGGTAACAAAAGCAATTTTTTCTTTTTAATATAGTGTTTGTTCTTAAATATTTTCTTTTACCTCGTATAGTTAATCTAACATTACATAGTTTTGATTGTCAAACAAAAATAACAGCATGTGAACTTCTGCAATCAATAATGGTTTATATGGTTGGAAAAAGAGCAAATAATTGAAGCAACACTAAAGTTTGTTTTGTACATGAAAATAAATCGATCGATCGTGCTTCTTTTTTTTTTATTTAGGCTTCTTATGCAAAATTTTATGAACATTTATTTTCTGGTATACTTGAATATCATATGATTCTGATACTGTAAAATAATTGCAGAAATTCTTGATACATTTATAGTTTGATAGTTTTTTTTTGTTAAGTAATTCATCGAAAAAAGTTTTTAGGATGGAATGATATCGCGTAGTATAGAATTTGCTTGAAAGAATTGTTGAAATGGACTGCTAAACATGCTGCAGCATAGAATAAATCTGATTATTTAAAAAAATGCTACATCAATAGTTAAGAGACGGTCCATGAGGGCATCGAGCATTGCTACCACAGGCCATACTCTCGAATTTTTGACCTACCCTTTTTATTATTGGAAACGAAAGCCCATGTGTAGAAACCTATAAATCCAAAGTTTCAGACTTTTTTATTGTTCCCTTCAAAAGTTATGAGGTAAACATGGAAGAGGNGCCTAATTTTGTTAGTCTAAGAATCAGCATTGAACTCTGTTTATTTTTCGCAAGTTTATTTTGCATTTTATTGCAAGTAACGGGTGGGCCATAAATAATGATGGTCTGATTGTTTCATCGGTATCGGTCTTGAATTTCATCTCAAAGACTTCGAGTTTCTTTCAAAAGATTCAGCATTCAATTCTCTACAATAACATATCAAAGATCCTTCGATAAGACCTTACGACTAAAAATTAGAGAAGTAATACTGAAATGCTCCAAGAAGTTCAACTTTCAAAAGTTTCTTTTCTTCAATCTCCGAAACGGTTGAGCCTATTTTCTAGCTCTTGAATAAATATAAAATCACAGCCTAACAAGTTTCGGAGAACAATTAAGTGTGCTCTTTCTCATGATGTACAGTGTAAATCGTAAGGCACACAACTACCATCTAAGCAATCAAATAGAAGATAAACACTGTTACGGGCTTTTCCCTCACATATACCATCATCTTTTCTTTCTCTTGTTTCTTCTCTTCTTTCTTCCTCACCTTTCTTCATTTTTATGTTTGCACTGATTTTACCTCTAAGTCTTTTTTTCTTTCATCTAGTCGTCTACTACTATATACATATATACGTGTTTCTCCAGATAGTGAAGTATTTATAAATATATGTGTGTGCATACATTTTTCGTTTTTGGTTAGATATAGAAAATAAAAGAAGCAGGGTAAATCATCCAGATCTTAATAGACATCGTTACTGAAATCGTCATAGTTGAATTCTGCTAGAACTATTGCAACTACTTTTATCACTGTAAAGCTCATGGTCTAGAACAAAATCTAATCAATAAGCTACACCGTACGCTTCTGCATCAATTGAATTACCACTACTCTATCAGTGATGAAATCGAATGTAGGACACGGCTACAAATGTCAAGCCGCAACTTTTCTGGAATTCCCTAAGCCAGTTTTTCACTTCTAAGTTCGTCACGATAGAGAAAGCCTCTAGAATATCAAAGAGCATACGACTCTGCTGCTCTTCACATACAACTCTTCTGTGGATCATGAGATTGAACCTCATATCCCTTCAAAAACCTAAAACAATCTCACAAAAGTAAAATAACAAAACTCACCTTTTTACGCTATGCAATTCATTACCAAGACAGAAAGACCAGTGTATCCCATAGAGAATTAAATTATGGATTGAATGATGTATAACTTCACTTTCGGCGATAAGTTTCAGACTGAGCACAGTTCCAAAAATAAACAATGGTACAAGAGTCGAATGGAAAAAATTAATTTTTTCCTTTCCAAACTCATGACCGAGAGAGAACAACCACTGAGTTTGATAGAGCATTGAATTTCGAATCAAATGATATAGAACTTTTCTTTCGGCTATGAGATGGACACTTCAAAGTACCCTCAACATATTACACACAGTAGTCAGCATAACATATGGAGTATTTTTTTGAATATGGAACGCTTCCCTGAGAGATAGGTTCTTCTGGATGCCGTAGAACATTGTACGCTCAGTCGAATGAGAGATAGATTCTCGCTCGGCGATGGTGATCCCAGGAAAACGCACTATAAAATATATGTCATTAAAGTAGGTATGAAAGATCGGACGGCAGTTTTTTCCTGTAGCTTTTTGCCGAGAAAGGTGAGCTGATGTATGTGATACAGCATTGACATCTGCATCTGTTGACATAGCCCTTCTCTCTTGGCGAAGTCTACTGGCGAGAAATGTACTGTAGTATGTGTCGCACTGAATTTTAGATAAAGCACCGGATAGGTTGTTCTGCAGTTCTACTGAATGCTGAGAGAGAAGAGTTAGTGCATGTGATAGAGGATTAGGTATTGCGTCAAATGATAGATCATTCCAGTCTTGACCAAGAGTTGCAGACTGCGTTGCATCCTTAATATGTAATATATGTGAGGTAAACCCCTCCCCAGAATAAAAGAGCATGGTCTTATCTTGCGTCTCTGCACATCTTTACTTTCTGGGTGGCCTTCTATTGAGGTCAGCTTTTGACAAATTGTTAATTAAAATTTTTTAAAAACTATAATAATTAATTATAATTAATTAATAATTTTAATTTAGGTATTTCGGGTATTTTTCGTGAAAAAACCGCTGTTTTTATGTTAAAATATCCTATTAATGATAGAATATGGAGCGATTTCTCAAAAAAGCAGTAATTTTTGGCTAATTATTAGTTAATATTTACGACAAATTAAATATTTTTGTAATTAATTAATTAATTAGTGCATGGTCTTCTAATAGGGCTGATGAAGTTTTGTTCAGACATGGCCTTCTAATGGGGGTGGCCCTCTAATATGGGGTGGCCTTTTATTCTGGGGAGGGGTTTAACACAAACTGTCGGAGAAGTCTCTTTTCTTCATGAGACTTGTTGCCGAGAGAACGGGACAGTTGCATCTAATACAATGTTCGATGTTGAATGAAATGGTTAGTCACTCGTGTCTGGGTGATGAGATGAAGACTAAAAAAAGTGACATTCGACGAAGAAAGAGGTGGAATGATGATACGACTTTTTCTTACTGATTTGTATGATGCTTAGATATACATGGTTGAGTTTTCGGTATACAGTTAGACCCGGAACGGTTGGTAAACTAGTAGGGTGTTTGTTGGGTGTTTTTTAACGAGGATTTTATGGTAACTAAGGATTATGTGTCGGCATTTTCTGGACTGTTGTAGGTGTTTTGTGCTTTTTCTGTGATTGGTTCATTGAATGAAGAATTTGATTGGTCATCGTGCTAGCTTCACGTGGATGAATCTGAGTTGAGAAAAATTGATCACACTCTCTGAACTCAGTGTCTCGTGGTGTGACTCACCTCTTCTTTGTTACTCAAGAACGGCATTTGAAAATTGAGTGTCTTTATAAGAGTTGTATATTCTGGTAAAGCATTCAATTCTGCATCTATTGATGTATTATGTGTCGTTTTGCAATGGAATCTGAGTTTAGAAAAATCGATCACAATATCTGAACTCAGTACATTGATGTGTGACTTACCTCTTTTTCTTCCTATCGGAGGGCATTTGAAAATTGAGTATCTCTATAACAGTTGTATATTCCTATAGAGTATTCAATTCTGCAAACACATCTGAGGGTAATGGATCGTATGCGCATGACTTGGTTTTATTTCAAGTTTTTTTTTTTCATTTTTTTGTGACTCACCTAATTTTTGAGGATTTCTCACCTCGATAGAAATCAATTATTGATAAGTGTTGTACACCAATCGATGCAGAATTAAATTCTCTAGAAATTGGTGTATTGCTCATTTCGGTGCAATGGAATGTATGGTCTCTAGTGATAGTGTGAAAACGTATGTTCGTGGAAATTCACGATAGTTGTTGTAATGGGTGAATGATAATTTTTTTGTTTCAAATTTTTCGTTATGCATTTTGATGGGATAATTCATTTTTGAGGTAGGAAAATTTGTTCGACTGCTAAGGAAGGTTTTGGTGGTATTTTATGGACTACGAGTGGTAAAATGTGCTCGAGCGTGGATTGATCGTTTGGTAGATCGATTCTGATTGGTGTTCGTGCTAGCTTCCATCGATAAAATTTTCTTTCATTCTCATATGGCATAAAAGAAAGATTTGTTAACATAATTTACTATATCGATTTATAAAATTCATATTCAAGTTTATTTTTCATTCAATGAAAAAGATATCATTTGTTGAAAATTTCATGATTGAATTACTCGTAAACCTAGTACTTATACAAACAAAATTATTTTTGACCAATCCCAAAACAGAAAATACCTGAACAATCTCACTTTCATCGCAACAAATAGGTCTATAGATCTAAAACTTTTTCCACAACCATAATTTTCCACTCGATCCTATCAGAAATCTTTTCTTAAAAATATAATATGTTAAAATTCTCTTGATATTAATTAAATACAATTTATTTTTTAACAAAAAGAAAATAGAAAACTTTCACAAAAACAAATAATTTATTCATCAAGTCATTTAATAGTAAATAAATAATATTAACCCTTTGGGGACCGTGGACGTATATATACGTCCATACAGTTAAAACGATAGGCGCAAAGTTCTTGGACATTTTGAAGCAGATTCATTATATATTTCGTTTTTTTTTCTATCAGAGAGTTCATGGACTGAGTCGCTACGAACAAGAGCAAGCGCGACAAGTATATAATTTATAGTATGTAGGTTATTACTAGTTCTGGCAATATCCTTTACCACTTATTGAAAAAAAAGTCGGTCCCCAAAGGGTTAATTTAAATCAATATCGAATTTTTGTATTCGATGATTATGCCAATCGACAACATAGAGGTTACCATTTCGATCAAATGATACACTTGAAGTACATTTAAACAGCAGTGTTCAGACTTCCGAAAAAGGAAATTTCGGAGATTTCAAGCATTTGTGTTCTGAATTGTACGTTACTTCCTAAAATGATGTAATTTCCGAAAGTCCGCAATTAGATACTTAGAGAAATTTCGGAAATTGCTGAAATTTCCAATATGTCTAAAAACTTTTGATTTGCACTACTATATAGTTATCAAGCTGATGGAAATTTCAGAAATATGGGTAATTTTCTTTTTTGGAAATCTGAACATACCTCGATTAATAATAATGAAAGAATATCTACTGATTAGTTTATTATTCTTTTATTTTTTTAAATTATTCTTCGGCATCTCTTGTTAATGGAATTGTTACAATATCTTGGTCACCGTCTGAACCAGCTCCAATAATTGATCGCTTTTTAACAAACAATATCGTAATTCAATTAAAAATTCTTTATCGTGAATCAACATCAAATGCCAGTATAACTCGAGAATAAATCAAAAAGAAATAAGATAAATTAGATAAAACAGTTAAAGATACAAATATTGAAATTCGTGGTCGAATTGGTCATGTTATTGGATGTTTACCATTACAATCCGATGTATTATTAAGTGCAACACAAGAAGATAAAAATGCACCAAGAAATAGTTATCAAATGTATTATGAACACATATGGAAAGAAATGAACAACGAGCATTTACAGCATATCAATCAGATTGTGATTATACCGGTACACATTTATATATTGATCAATTATCCGATACTAAAAAAGAGAAGTATCACCATCAAAAGCTATTAAATTAAGAGAAAAACAAACACAAATAAATAAAAATAAAAAAACTCGCCGTGCAACTGATGAAAAATTATCACCATTAGTTAATGGTTTACGTTCAAGTACAGGAACATTATTAACATCGGGTAATGGATATTATCTTATCGAAATTTATCCACCGAAAATAATTGGCTCTGATAGTCGTGCACTTTATGTTGATGTTGATGTTGATGTTGTTAGATCAATGAAAAATAAATATGGACACTATATTACAGCTGATGAATATCCATCATTAGTTTTTTTATAGTATTATGTGTGTTACATATGCATTATTTGCTGTATTATGTTTTGTTTGGTGTGCATTCTATTGGAAAGAATTACTTAAAATACAATTTTGGATTGGTGGAGTTATACTTATTGGTATGATTGAAAAATCAGCATTTTTAGCTGAATATGATACATTAAATCGATACGGATAAATATTAATTATAAAAATAAAAACTTAAATTTATTGATATTTATTTTTATTTAGATGTAAAGTTCATTATGCAATTGTAAAACAGCAGAAATTCTTTCATGTTTAAAATGTACTATATCACGTATGCTTGTTATTATTATTGCCATTGATTATGGAATTGTTAAATCACGTTTGGGACCATTAAAACAAACAGTTCTTGGTATGGGAATATTGTATTTTACAGTATCAGTAACAGAATCAATTCTTCGATTACAATATGAAACATGATGAAACAAATAATAAAGTATTAATATCACGTATACCATTAGCTGTTATTGATGCGATTATCTATTATTGAATATTTATCGCTTTAGTTGCAACAACAAGATCATTGCGTTTAAAAAGAAATTAGTTAAATTAAATGTTTATCGACATTTTACAAATACTGTTTTATTTGCTATTATTGCAAGTTTATTATTTATGATTTGGTCATTAAAATCACATTTTTTTACAACATGTATGACGAATTGGAGAGAATTTTGAGTAAGCAAAATATTTTTATTTATCAATAAAATAAAATAGATTTTATATTGAAGATGTATTTTGGCATATTTTACTTTCAATAATTCTTCTTGTTATTATGTTTTTATTTCGTCCATCAAATAATAATCAACGTTATGCTTTTGTTCCATTACTCGATCAATCAGATAATGATGATGATGCATTTGGGGAAGGAGATGAAGAATAAAGGCGATAAGATTGTCAAAAAATCAAAACAATTCTCATTTGTTGTACTCTTGGGAACGTGACATTCTCTTTAAATCTATCACACATTCAAATCATTATGCTTTTATCAAGATGTTTTCAGAGAATAATATTTGTCAGATGAAAAAATTCTGAACAGATCAATTAAATGAATTCATTGATAAAAATAGAATCTATTTAGTTGAAAATGATTTAAAAGGTATTATTAGTAATTTGATGCATATATATCTTCGAGGAAGAAAATATGATAGATAAAGATTATGCTATTTTATATCTATTGGATGAGATTAAAAGCATTTCCTACGGCAAATGAGAGCTGCTATCAGGGGTGCAGAATCTGCCGGTAAAATTAAAAATTTTCCCCGACGGTAAAATTTTTCCGAAAAATTTCCCCGAGAATGAGAATCAATTAAATACCGACTTCTGGATTACAACATTTATTCAAAAAAAGCCACTACTGTTTAATAGCTTGCAAATTCACATTGAGAAAACAATACAATTATCAATTATTCAACACTTGGTTCAGGTAATCTTGCTAATTTTACTTTTCATAAACGATTTAAAACAACTGAGCCAGGAGAAACAAGTTTCCAAACTTGATATTGTTCACTTTTTTTGTAAAATAACCATTGTTTATTTTTTGTATGACTAAAATAATCATTAAGTGAACTTCTAATGAATAAATTAGCTACATGCAAAGGTGGTGCATTCCAATGTAACATTACTTCTTCATCTAATGATTTGTGTTGTAATGAACGATTGTTGTGAATATGGTTTTTTAAAATTGACGACGCAGATTCGCATACTGCTTCACTTCTAATTTTCAAAATCATCAAGGAATAAAAATGTAAAAAATCACAAATATCATCTGCTAGCTTTTTATTGGTAAAAAATGTTTTCATCATTTTCGGTGTAATTATTTTTCCATTTGTCGTCCATAGATCGAAAGTATTTTTATCAGCTATTTCAACTAAACATCTTTGTTTCCATTTGAGATATTGTTCTTGTATAGCAATTGGATTTATTTGAATATATTGTGAATTTACAATAGTAAAATTAATTAATTCTTGTAAAACCGTTTGACCATAATCTTTACATAATTGTTGACCAGTTAATACTACCTGTTCGTATAAAGACGATACATCGAGACAACTTTTCATAAATGTAAAAATTGATGGTGGATCTTTAAAACGTATATCAATAGCTTCAACCAGTTTTTGACAAAATACAATTAATTTTTGTCGAACATTTGTA